GGGTGTCTGGCCCCTGGCTCAACAAGTTTGGCATTACCTCTGCCTAGCGAGGTTTTCCCTGCTGGGTCTTGCTCCAGACAGCAGGGGTCACCACAGCCCAGCAAGTACCCCCACTACGTCACAGATGGACTACTGGTCTAACCTAGTATGGCCATTCTTATGTTCTTACATTTTTTGTGCCCTTTAAAGGTGTACCCACTGTCGGTAAAACACTTAGAATTTCTGTAATGGAGCAACAGTGACGGGCGGCGATAGAGATGTTAGCGTATAGATGTGTAAATGATTAAACTGGAAAGTCTGGGCTTACCGGTTAAACCTAACAACTACCGGCACTCCCCGTCCTTGCTCCTTCTAATACAGAGCCAGCAAAAAGGGGAAGGGGAGTGGGAGGCAGGCAAGAGCCCATGCCCATGGAGAGCTGGATTTTAAGTCAGCTCCCCCCAAGCCTCAGATCTTGGTGAGATAACTTCTTCCCTATCTCCGTGGCAGGAGAGTGGGGCTGGGAGCACATTGCCTGATGGAGCTGCCCCTGAGACATACTGACTAGCTATGGAACCAATAGGATGTTTGGCACCATTACACAAGTATTCAATTCAAGGATATCCAACCTCCCTACTCGGTGATGACTGGAATTAATGTGCATAGCAATTCTGTAATGTAGCAACAGCAGCTCCCGATGGGAACTCAGGGTAACACACACAGAAATCCTGTAATGGGGCAAGACTAGGGATGTGAAGGAGCAGTCAAGTAGCAGAAGTTTATCTGGTAGCAATATTGACTTCTCCATCACTCCCTCTCCACCCACTCTTAACAGGACAGAGAGGAGCCGGCTTGCAAAGACACCTGCTCATTCTCTGGTCTCAGGAAAGCCCCCGCTGCGCAGCAGCAGTGGCAGCCTGTCTGCCTCAGCACAAGGGGGGTGCTGCTGCTGTGTCCCTTTAAAAGTGCAGAGGGGCAGCAGGAGGGGTGGCTACTGCTATTGCATCCCTTTACAAAAATGCAGAGCGGCAGGGAGGGAAGCATTGGGTGTGAGGGGCCAGGGGGTGCCTGGCGCTAGCAGGGCAGGAGATGCTGGGTGTGAGGAGTCAGGGGGTGCTTGGCACTTGGGGGGGGGGGGCTGGTATGAGGGGCCAGGGAGTGCCTGGGCGGGAAAATCCGGGGAGACTGGGCGGGAAAATCCACAGGGCGCTCGCGCGGACAAGGCGCGAGGGGCCGTTGGGGGAGGGGGGGTGTCGC